CTGTGAAAGATTTCTACGACTACCCTTCCTCTAGAGCATATCTTCCTGAAGAGATCATGCTTGTGAACAATGACGACCCTTCGGTTCAGGAAATGGAGAGGGCCTGCCGTCGCATACTAGTCTCCCAAACGCCCATGATGTACAGCCAGGCAGCAGCTGCTAAAACCTTGAGACATAATGTCCAGATTGGAAATGTCCGTCTGACACTGAAGAGGGGAAGAATTGAGGAACAGCAGGTAAGAATCTGCAATGTGTCTTCATTATTTAGTGTTTTTATATGTGTTTATATATGTGTTTTATTATGTAGTATGCATTTATGAATTTTAATGTGAATTGCTGCTTGTATAATCATTTATTTTTTTAGTTAAACACTATGTTAACAGGTATTTCAAGTCAAATGTTTTCTTTTTTTGTGTATTGACCTCCAACAGGGTAATTTTCATATTTTCAGGGCTTCTGAGTAAATACTAATAGGCTGTCTTCTTGTCTTCTTCTCATTCATGTTTTTGTATCCTCTCAGACGGATGTCATTGTAAACACTGCATCAGCAGACCGAGACTTGAGCGTTGGTCAAATCTCCAAGGCTTTATTGTCGAAAGCTGGTAGCCAAATGCAACAGGAGATTAAAAGTTCCCATCAAAAAGGAAACATCATCACCACCAAAGGCTACAGCCTGCAATGTAAAGACGTGTATCACACTTTTTGCACTGAAAAAGGACAGGTAGCGGCGCACCAGGTATTTTATGAGTTTAAGGCTTATTGGGCATTGAGTAAAAGGGGAATATATATATATATATGTATATTAAATACATAAATATTAATTATCTGATATATCTAAATGTGTAAATTAGCTACTTTATGTTAAATGTGTCACATCTAAAAAATATATTGTATAACAGTTTGCAAGAGTTTATTAGTTTGAATTTGTCTTACCATACGTATTCTAAGTAGCATTAAAAACAGCTCATTGCAAAATGAAAAATAGAAGAACCCAAAGAGAGTTGAGAGAGAAAACACTGATAAACCGTATATAAACTGTTAAGGTTGTACTGTAATAAGAACTTGTATTTGTCTATGTCTCTGTCTGTGTATTCATTCATTACAGGTCCTTTTCAATTCAGTATTGGAATGCTTATGGAATGCAGCTGCCAGTCAACACAAGTCAATTGCCTTTCCTGCCATCGGTACTGGAGTCCTCAATTTCAGTAAAAGTGAAGCTGCCCAGATCATGTCAAATGCCGTGGCTGACTTTGCCTTGGAGTGGAAGGCCCCAACTATGATGGAAGTTCATTTTGTCATACTTCACTCTGACAACGACACATTTAAGGTTGTACTGCAAAAATTCTGTCATGAAATTAGAATATTACCATACAAGCCATGGGTGTCTATAGTGGGTGGCTAAAATAGAGACACCTCAACAGTGAACATAATAGAAAGCTAAACAGTTATGAATAAAAAACAAAATGCTAAACAACAAAAACAGCGACAGAGGAATAATGATGAGACTCAGTTAAAAGATTGAAGAATGTGTGCTAATGATTGACTTTAAAGGTGACACTTTGTATGAAGTTTCTATAATCCTAATCAGGTTGGTTAAAGTTAGTTATTAAATCTGAAACCAGTGATGTTTAAATTGAATATCATTGTAATATCTATCTGTAAGGTGGAATGTGGTTATGTGTTTAAAGACACTCCCTACACCTGCTGAAGAAAGCTCAGTTGCCAATTAGACAATTCAATTCAAAATATAATGTAATTTATACTTTGTGAATTGTCTAATAGAAAAGAAGAAAGAAATATATTAATGACCTTCTCTTTGCAGGCTTTCGAGGAACAAATGAGAACTCTCCAGAAGACAGTATCTCATCCCAGCTTTACACATGGTAACAACACAAAATTTCCACTAATATTAAATGTACACATCAAATGTACGCATTAAAGGTCTAATGCAAGTATTTGATTGGGAGTTGATTGTGATGGACCACAACATACTATTGGCAGAATTGCATTGACTATAATGGCAGTAATTAACGCCTTTAAAACTTTTCCTATGTGTGGGTGTTATTATTTTCCATTATATTCATTAATCTATGAGAACAGAATCGTGACACTTCTTAGAAAAAGGAAATTCATTACAGTGATCATTTTATCACCACTGACTTATGTCAAGGTTTTGTTATTATGGTGTGATAATACAGTCCTGCGCAGCAGCAGTCCTGAAGAAAAGGGCCTGATTCAGGAAGCAGCTACATTTATATTTCATTGTAATCTGACTTTAAAATTCCAGATCTGGGACTGTTCTTAAGTACACCAACAATGAGTGTGTTCAAATCCCCCTGCTTCTAATTGCATGACTTCCATTAATGAAAAAAAGAGTAACATTGACAAAAAAATGTTTCAAAAAAATGTTCACTGGAATGACACACAAACACACAAAAAAAACCCCAATAAAGCTAATGTAGGACAACTAATATGAAAAATATTTGCATAATAGAACTGCATGTTTAACTAAACCTGTTTCTGAAATTATTTAAAATAACAGTAACAGTGATCCTACAGTGTGGCAGTGATTGTCGTCTTTATGTCCTCTCCATCAGCTCCTGAGCACAGGGACGAGTTCCGTGAAAGCAAACCTCCCACTCCACAGATCAGCCTCTCAGGCTCTGATGAAACAACCCGAGAGGCTGAACGATGGCTCAGTGGCTTTCTCAAATCCTCTGGCACTGTCACTATCCGTAACAACTTCATCCTGCACTTTGGCAAGCAAGAATATCTCCAGCTGTCCCGTCTAACCCAAAACAATATCTTCTTTGAGGAGTCTTTCAAGAAAGGTCAAGCAGAAATAACTGTAAACGGGATTCATGAAGATGTTGTGGTAGCTGGGTTTCAGGTGGAGGCCATGCTCTGCAACATACAGAGGGAATTTGTCAAAGAAGAAGAGCAGGACATGCTTCTAATGTCAACCAAGAATGTGTCCTTGAAAAGAAAGACTACGGAAGTAGATGACACCAGCCGTACATTCTCCGACAGAGTTTCTGAATTCAAAAAGGACGGGCTGCGTATGAAGAAGGTACAGTATGTCTAACAACAAGTGTCTTTTTTTTCACCCCTGCTTGACTAATGATGATTTTATGCTATTTAGTTGGAAAGAGTTGAGAACCCTGCCCTGGAGACACTGTTCAATCTCAAGAAAAACCAGCTACAGTGCCACACTTCCCGAAAAATGTTTCAGCGCATACCTGCACAGTTCTGTGGTATGGTTAGCCATATTGGATTCCGTACAGAGTATGCACCACCTGCAGGTATGTTGCATCTGATAATGAAACCTATTTCTTTATGTATATGAGGTCAGATACGTGAGAAGAAGAAGAGATGGTAAAAAAAAAAAAAAAAGACATAATCACAATTCAATAATTTTTGTTCTGCCTGTTCTTCTGTGTACAGACCCAGAATATGGAGAGGGGATCTACTTTGCTGGCACAATGAGGAATGCCTTGAAAGTGTGGAAGGATCAAAATGAGGAGTATCTGTACTTTGTGGAGGCCGAGGTGCTGACAGGAAACTCCACTCCTGGTAAACCAGGTCTCATTCTGCCACCTGCCGTGGGAAAAGATCCCCTAATTATGTATGACAGTGTGAGCGGAGGATCTGATGTCTCTGTCATATTTAGTAGTTATCAAGCTCTTCCCAAGTACATTATCACCTGTAAGGTGGTCTGAAGAATGATTTCTTCTCTTTCCTGTGTTTATTGATAATGAATTTACACAGCATTATAAAGAAATGGCTGTTAGCATTACTCGAAACCATATGAATGAGACCAGTACTACAATATTACAGAGGGATCACAGATGTCAGATTTGTTTTTCATGATGCTGAACATTGCATAACTGCATCTTAAAAAAGTTTTGAGTGTTTTGTTTAAGTTCTTTTTGGGTGATTAACATATATTCTACATAGCAGCAGTGGTATTAATAGCAGTAGTATAATCATTTGTATGTATGTCTGAAGTTTGTTTATTAGTTTACTGATATAATACACACAACATATGTTAATAATGGTTATATGTATGTATACATATGACATAAAACAGATTGTGTGATGATTATAATATAATCCTTCATATGGCCGGTGAAAGGCTTTGGCTGGTGGTGAGGGATGTACATTGCAGTGCTACTACAAATACAGAATTGTAACCTGATTGTAAAATGCTCATAAAACAATGATTGTCAAATCCATGACGAAGGGGAAACTGATGATATTGGTATGCTTCTGTTGATTAAAAAAAGTTAAAAAAAAAAGTTTGATTCATTTTCTTATTATTATTTATTATAATTATTATTATTATTACAATTTTTTGAGGAATCTAGATGGTTTGTTTTGGCAACTTATTGTAAGTCCACCACTTAGAGAATATCAAACACAAATCATGGCTGCCCAGTTTTGTTATCTAATAATTTATATTGAAGGATCCTTTCATGAAGATCAACAAGAAAACCTGATCAGCAATACAGTTTTAATGAAATTAAATAGAATTTATATTTGTACGAACATGTGCCATAACAGTAAAACAAAATGGAAAATGTGTATAAATATAACACTTTTTATACATGACATATAAAAGACATAAAATGAAGTCTCATATTCTTAATGATTTGGTAGCACAACTGTTAGAAATCAGTCTGTTGAGAATGAAAGTTATATAATGGCTTGAAAAATATTATCTCAAGGTCCATTTACTAGCTTTCACTGTAGCTTTGAGCTGCATCTCACAGTCATCAGCAGATGAAGATTACTCAGTTGTCATGGAGACCTTGACCTTTATGCTTTAATTATTATCATCATTATTGATTAAAACAACAAAACTATGGAAAATGTTTTCACCAGTGATCAATAAATAGTGAATGCCTCTTTTTGCTAAATGTAAACAAACATTGAAGATACACTGCAGAGATTTTCAATCCTTAACATGTAACCATGAATATATAAAACATCTGGCCTTCACAAAAAAAAAAAAAAAACTAATTACATATATTGACAGCACGACAGAATTTCATACATCTCTAAGGACAACAGGGAGACCCCAAAGCATCAGCAAGTGATGTCTCTACCAGTAATAATATGACATCTGAACGATTGTCTGTGAAACTGTTACAGCCAATAAGACAGTGCAGACAATGAACCCCAGGATGTTTTGACACACCTGCAGCAGTCTGCTTAAAACTAATTACATATTACTGTAAAATCACGTAGCTGGACTAATCAAACAAAGACAATTTAATACATCAACATTGGACTAAACAAAAACCACTTCAGGGCACTGCTCACTGGAATGACGCTACGTTCAAGGAATAATCTTGTACCCTGGTATTTAAATCTCCTACTGTGCAATATTAAAAAGAAAAAAAGAAGAAAGCGAGCATGAAGCGCAGAGAGAACAGGTTGAGTCTGGGGATTACTCGGGTCACTTAAATTGTCAAGTACATGCACCTGTACTCTAAAATGATAACAGGTGCAGTGCATGTGCAACAGAGGACCTGCTGTTCATATTAAACACCGGAGAGCAAACTGAGCCAGGTTGAATGAGACAAGTATGGCACATCTGGCCTCCACTATTGATAATATAACTGAAGTTTATAGTATTTATATCAATATAAAGTTTCAATTTACAACTCAAAAAAGTTCTTCAGTGAGGTTTCATTTTGAGACAGTCAATCCCTTTTTGTGATGAAAATATGGCTGCAACTTCTCTTCTGCAACTGCTCAGACAGTAGGTCCTCTCTATAACTGTCACAGTATTAGTTACAGCCTGCAGCCTTTACCAATATGGCATATATACCCTCCACAGAATGGCCTTCAAAGGATAGGAGCGAACATCTATGTCAGTTGGTCCCTCACTGCGACAGCTTTAAATGACATTCCTCAAGTCCACACCCTCCCTCAGTTTTACAGACACTAAGATTCACACATACATACCAGACCTCCTGCTTCCATACAAATGTAAACACACGTACACAGTCACTCTGTGCATTCAGCTATTTCTGTGCCGTCCACAAGCAACGTGTGAATGATCCCATCTCGTCTCTTCCCGCTGCTCACAGCCTTAACACAGCAGTTGTGGTCTCCAAGTGTGAAATGTGTCTCTGTTCCATCATCCACGAACTCCCCCTGCAGGCGCAAGTCAGACAGACGTGTGGGCAAAGAAAGTAATCACTCATTTCCTTGTTGAAAGCTCTGGAGCCACTCTATATGCAGACAACTACAGAACCACAAGGTGTTTGAGGCTTTCTACCCATAAAGGATTTAGTGTTTGGTAGAATTATCAGTTGTGGACCAACCATACTACTTTGGTTTCTGACTTTAGAAGACAGGAATTTACAATTGTTGATTTTGATTTACACAGGGACTTCTTAAATTGGGTGGTGTATCCCTTTACTAAATAACAAATCAATATATAGACATGAAAAAGTAACTGGTATCTTACTTACTGCAGTTTCAATCTTTTGTCCATTACACCAAACATCCATAGTGTCTTTCTCTAAAAGAAAGGAAACACACAGAATCAGTGAAACATCTAACTATTGGGTGATGAAAGTTTGTGATGTGACTGCCAGTTAAAACCTGCTTAACAAGTTGTAGTATGTGTGCAGCCAGCTTTGATTTGTTGTATGTTTTGAATGCTCTTAGGTGTTGGTGTGAGAATGTTCGAGTTTGTCAGATCATATTTTGGTTCCCTAAAACAAGAAGCAAGATATAAATGCCCTGAGTGGTTTCTGCTCTGTTTAACAACTACAAACAAAATAAAAATCTTTTTGACCCTACTTTGAGTCTATACAGAAGAACATAAATAGATTTCAATGGCTTTCTAAGAGCAACCAAATCTATTGTTGAGGATTTCCCTGGAAAGTTATTATTGAATTATTCACACATTTGTATTTGTGTAGATCTTTAAATTAAATTTGGTTTGCAGTATTTCAATTCATGGAAGGTGTTTTAAGAAGCCATTCTATTGAAAGAGAGACCATACTTTACCTTTTACCTTCAAACTACTATTTATGATATTTCCTTAATTGTCTCTGTAAACGCGCAATATTTGTAACTGTAGTTTGTGGAGCAAAACCTTTATTTATGAATGTATGTAAAAACTGTAGTTAAAAAAAAACTGTAGTTTTTGTCAAGGTAGCTGATTTTTTAAAATCTTGGTCCTTATAATTTATTAGGCAATGACTATGGCTGAGTAAAACCTCCTTTCATTTATTAATATATGTGACTTTTGTTCAAGGATGGTCCTTTGTTAGGGAAAAGTGTGGGCTGTGTGTGGGTTCTCAAGTCATGTTTATATGATAAAAAGTATTCCTCATCACAGCTTTTGACAACTTAAAATGCATTTTCTTCAGCTTCTGAAGGTCAGATGTTATTTGTACATAGGTGAAAGGTTAATTTGAATGTTGTTGGTCTGAGTTTGACTAGTTCATGCTCAGATTTATAGATCATTGCTGCACACTAATGTACAGTATGTGCTGTACATGCTTCAGGTGGTTTGCCACCTGATCAACTGTAAGCAGTGTAAGTATAAGAAGGATTAACTTGCCCAGATGACAGATGAAGATGGCGTGGGGCTTATAGCAGTTAAAGAGCTTAGCCTCAACTCTGACATAATATTAGTGGGTAGTTCTGAAAGGGCAGAAATCATACAATGCTTAATAAAAATCCAAGATCTATCCTGATTGATTACATGAATGACACCCAGACACTGGTGGATTTACTTTTACAGTACTTTGGGTGACTCTCTTGGAGTACTACTTGGTAGAGCTGAATATTGGAAATATGGTTCGGCTATGTGAAAAAAAGACATTGCAATAATCAGATGTCAGAATAACAGACACAATGATTGAGACAGTAGGTGAATAATATACAAACAGAGGAACTCACCCAGGACCACCCTGCAGTCAGTACCGTCCAAGTTGAGTACCCAGGTGCTGGTGACCTTTGATCTGTTCTCCATGTACTTCTTCAAGCTCTTCCCGTTAATCTCCAGGGTGTACTCGTAAGCAAAACCACTGACTGCATCGATATTGATGGTTGCTTTGGTGTCTGACTTGCCCACATTGAATGTCTCCTTCCCCACGAGTTTAAACATCCAGTCCCGTCTAAGTATCTCCTGTAGCATGGGGTGAAACTAGAAATTAACAACCCTTGATAAAACTGACGTTGTAATGAAAAACGAATCATATAGGGGGTCAGGTTATAGGGGATCAGGTTATATAATGCGTTTTGTCTCTTTACTGGTTATACCATTACTTAAGATCATGGTTCATACCTTTCCATCAACGTAGATGACCCTCTTTCCAGTGGTCGTGCCATGTTCAAACTCTATCCTGTGGACCCCATCACTCAGTGCCACCTCCCACACGCCAGCAAGATCACTGGACATCCTAACTTCCTATGAATCTGTTGGACTCTAACAACAAAACAACTACAACACTGAATGTCGAAACAAAAGCATGGCTAAAGGCTACTGTTAGCTAACAGACTGCGATAACGTTAGTTAGCTCATACGTGAAAACTAATCAAAATTTTCTGTGTGCCTTTAAGCCTACCTCCACCTATAGACACTGTTACCCAGCAGTAATTAGCACATACTGTTAAAACATTAATAATTAGTTAACTCGTGATAGAAACATGGCTAAAGATTACATAGTAAGTTATCATTGTTTCTTGCATTAAGACTTCCGGTGACAGGGATTCACATTCAAAATCACAGCAGGAAATGTTGAACTAAATATTTTTTGTGTTAAAACATATGTGTGTGTATGTGATACACGTACGTACATAGTATACATGTCTATGTTAAAAGTGTTACTTAATGACAAAAGTAATTCAATTTAGCAAAACCACATATGCAAGTTGTGTGACAAATTTTAATAGAGTAAATGTTTTATCTTATCTATCTTGGGGGTTATGTGGCATACAGGATATTAGATTGCAGATCCCATGGCTGTATAACATTCACGTTTCAAATTGCAACTCTCAACTTTGAAGACAGACCTATTTGCTCTTCAGTGTCAAAACCTGGATTTTATTTTGAAAAGAAAACGGAAGCATTACTGCATCATTCGAGCAACATGTTATGTATCTTTTTAGTAGCTCTTACCGCTAACGTTACCTTTTCTGCTAAGAGGATAATCTTAAATGTTGGTACAAGAATATCATCCATCATTATACATCGAGATTACCTTAACGGTCCCGAAGTAAGCGCTCTAGCTCCGTGGTTAATAAATAAAAAACAGGCCACTTTAACGCAGTTTATACACAGGCAATTAGCTTCTGCAGAGAGTCAACAGACGAGCTGTGACTATGTTGTTACCATGGTAACATGATATCCACCTACGTAGGGGCTGGAGCACGCCCACTAAGATAAAGCCAGTTTTTTTTAACTTGATTTAGGGTAAGAGTTACATGCAGTGTTGTGTGATGCAGTAGGAATAAGAATGACACCTTATAATCCATGTACCATGTACGCTTACTATTAATTGGAATGTTCTTGGGGGAAGAGAAGAATACTAAAACGGCACATTCACAAACAACCGTGGTAGTAACAAGTAACTAAGTACATTTACTTAAGTAAATATGTAAAATACCGTAGGCTACTGTACTATTCAAGTACTACTGTTGGGTAACTGGGTACTGTAGCTAATAGCTACAACAGCATAATAAGTAGGCCTAGTTAAAATTAGCTCGAGACCCTAGGCCAGCTACAATAGTAAAATGCTACTTGCATCATAATCCAATTATATTCCAGGCACAGCATGCACAGGGGCGATCTGAATTAAATACTTTTATTTTTAATACGTTTTCCTAACAATACTGACTCAAGTAACTGTTTACCCATTACTAGAGGACCATTTTACTTGTGATTTCTATCTTTACCATAGGAGTAACTAACGCATGCACAATAGCAGCACCCGGACAGCAAAGCAGCTACATAGAATTCAGCCATAAATCTTTTAATATTTATACCTGTGCTTTTCCTACTTTCTAAATAACATGTCAAAATGTGTTCTGTCAAAAAGGTCTTCCTGAATAGCCTACTTCTTCCATCACGGTCCTTATACTTGTTTTCAGTTATTCTGGCTACTTCGTACTGCTTAAAGTTAATGGAGCTATGCACTTTGTTTTTCCATTCTTAACAAGTTCAGTGATTCACTAACTGAATGATTTTGTGGAAAACGGCTCCATCTTCTGGCAGAAGGCCCACATCTTATGATATGGGATCACTTCATATAACATACAGTGATGTACTTGGAGTTTTTTTTTCTTTTTTTAAATAAGCCTGATATGGTTTTGTTGTGAGAACATCATTCATGCAGCTTTAAATGAATCAATAAGAGTTAATGCTGTCTTGTCATTGACATGTTCATATTATAAGATCAGAGGGATCAAGGGAGATAAGTGGCAATGTAACTTTTTTCAGTAGTACTGTAATTATTGTAATATTGTATAATGATAATGATCAATATAGAACATGCAGGCACAACATAAAAAATCACACATAAAATATCAGAAACAAAAGTGAATTGTCAGACAAGAACACGATGGTAAAAATATGTTCACTAAATATTGTACTTCCTCTGTTTCTTTCTCTTTTTTTTCCTCTTAAGCAGACCTCTTCAATATTTTTGTAAGTACGAAAAAAACATTCCACAATGTTAGAAAACATTTAATAATGTTTTAGTTTTACATAACAATTAATTTTCAAGGTTTTTGGTTTGAAACATGTTTCTGTCATCATTTTGGATGTTGAGGGAGTGTTAAAAAAACAAAAAGTTTTTTTTACTTGCACATCTTTACTTATTGCTTGTTCCTTAATTAGACTGTCCAAATACATAAATAGTGGGAGTGATTTAATAAATGAAGAAATTAAGTGCTGCACAAACTAAGGAAAGGACAAATATAGGAGAACACACATAGTTTAGGTTTAAAGATTTATTGTAAGGCAATCACAGGATAAGCTACATTCAACCAAACCAGAATATTAAAACTGCACTTTTCGCTTTTCACAAAAATTTTTTTTGCATAAACAACTGTGAAAAAAGATAATATGAACACATTTCATATGATCAAAGCACATGAAAACCTCCGATCCTTTGCATGTCATTTTGTTTTGCAACCATTGCTTCTGCAGAATTTATCATGAAGCCACAGTCTCCCCTCTTCTCCTTTACATCAGCCACAGAGCCACCCATGCAGGTACGCGCACACGCACACACACACATACACACACACACACCCACACACACACACACACACGCACGCACACACACACACACGAACACACACACGAACACAGAAATCATATCTACATGTGCTACCTGCACATAGTACACACATTTAAGTGATCAACATACATATTCAAATAAAAAGACAGATAAAGTAAATCGTATTTGCCATAGCCTGATATCAAATGAAAGTTGCTGCACAATTAAAAAAATACAGGATTTTAAGATTTCAGCACTTATTACAAAGAATACAGTTATGTTTCCTGAACCAGTAGTTTGAACAGACACAAAAGATCTGCCTCAGTGAACATCCATCATCAAAAACACTGTACTTTGTTTCTGAAAAGGAAAACTGATTTCATCACCTCTTCCTGTTTGAAAGATTAAGATATCTGATTGCAAGAAACTTTTGTCTTCTCTCACTTCTCGCTCTCTGTCTTGCATAAGAAAATGAAAAAACTCACTCACAATGTTCAAATTAGAAGACTGCAAAATAAGAAGATGGCTCTTCAGTCGTGGCCACAATTGAATTACATCATTAAAGGGCTTAAAAGGCTGTAAAACATACATAAACAATGAAATCTCTGCATCATGCCTTCCTCCATTGACGACTCTTCAAATCAATGTGGAACTCATTTCAGATTTTGAAAAATAAAGCCAACACCTACATTTATTAGTTCTCTTGAATTTTCTTATTCTTTTCAGTCATTATTGTACATGTCTTATAATAAACCACTTGGTTTACACTTTCTTCATTTGGCTAATTGCAGGGGTAAATAAAAATGACCACCACCCAAGGCTATACATAGGCATCCATCTGGAGTTATTTACATGGTAATAGAGGTGTTTCTAGATCTGATGCTGCCTACACTACTGACAGAGCTTTTTCTGTAGGCCATCAGGAGCCTCTTACTGATGAGGCCATGTTTGTACAGAGCTAAGAGCAGCTGGTTGCGGAACTTCTCCCCAATGAAGGCGTACAGCACTGGATTCACTGCACAGTGCATGAAGGCCAACACTTGAGTCACATTTAGCATCACCTCCACTCTGTAGCGAGTGTCACACACTTCACTCAATCCACCCTGTATGAGTGTGTCAATCAGTACAGTAACGTTATAAGGCAGCCAGCACAGGATAAAAGCCAAGACCACTGCCAGGATGACGCGCATGGCTTTGTGCTTTTGTTGACTTCGTGTGTGAAACAGCGTCACCACAGTCCAGCTGTAGCAGACAGTCATCACCACCAGTGGCAGGAAAAAGCCCATGGTATGGCGCAGAATACGCATGCTGACACGCCATTGGTCACCGGTGTTACCGGTGAGATTTTCAAAGCAAATGGTCCGACCCAGATCTTCAGCAGCAAAGCTCTCCCTCTGAATTGCCACAGGTAAGGACAGTAATCCAGCCACCAGCCACACCACGCCGCACACCACTTTGACCAACAGGTGGTGGGAGGACAGGACACGTGTAGCTCTCACAATGGCAAAGTAACGGTCCACGCTGATGCATGCAAGCAGGAAGACACCACTGTATACTGATGCCTCCTGAAAGCCTGACAGGAGTTTGCACATGAAGTTGCCAAAGATCCAACCTGAATGAACATCAACAGCCCAGAATGGAAGTGTAAGACAGAAGAGGAGGTCAGCCACTGCCAGGTGCATCAAGTAGATATCTGTGCTGGCTCGGCCTTGCTTCATACAGCAAACAACATACACAACTATGCTGTTGCCTACTATGCTGAAGACAAACACAATGATATAGGTGATTGTCAAGCCCAGGCCACTAAATCCAGGCACATTCACGTGGCAAGGAGCAGAAGATGGTCCATCGTCATCTGGTGGAAATGTAGAATTGTATATAGTCAAGAATTTATCTAGGTCGAAGGGAGGTTCCGACAGCTAAAAAAAAAGGAAAAGAAGAATAAAAATTTGTGAAAATTGCAGAAGAAATAGCAGAAGTACTATAAATGTTCAATGTTGGATTAGTGGTACAGTAAAGAAAAGCTTTCAGGGAATTTAGAAAAATACTTCCAGGAAATATGCATAGTCTCTTTCTTGCTCAGAGTTCAATGAAAAATCCATACCACTCATATCTGTTTTTCACATATGACACTGAAGCCAGCAGCTTGTTAGCTTAATTTCGCATAATGATTATGCCAAGAGCTAGCCTATCAAAAGCCAATGGAAAAATCACATCCGTCACCTCTGTGGAACTCTATAGACCCACTCATAACTCCCCACAGAACTGGAGAGACGTGAGAGTGGTATCTTTTCATCCTACTCTTGGCGAGAATGTGAATAAGTATATTTAATGAAATGTGAAACTATTATTTTAAAAGGAAATTTAGATAAACGCACTGCAGCTTACTGACTGACACTGGTGGTGAAGTCCTACAACCATTACCACTACAGTGTCTTACTGATCGGTCTAATGCAGCTTTTATAATTTGGAATTTGATGTTAAAGAAAAAAACTTATCTGAAAAAGGTGAATATTGCTTCCTAGACAATTTAAGAACTGTGTTATTGTATGTGCGTATACCTCTCTTTAAACAACAGAATCACATATCCCTTTATCATAACAGAACAACCATACAATGACAATGAAAGACAATAACTAAAGATAATAACAATTACTTAGCCTGACCCTGGTGCACAGGTGTTCATCATTTGCTCACTTTTATTATAAATTTAAATATAAAAATCGGATATCAGTTCAATGCCTTACCTGAACCTGTCCTTCGCCTTGACTGGTTAAAACCAAATACTGCAAAGTGCTAAGGATGAAAAGTTGTAGCTTCATCTTCTTCCCTTCTTCAGGCACACAGGTTTATCAGGAAAGCTATTAATTTGAGTGTTGTCTTTGCTCAAAGACGCAGTAGAGGTCCTTGTGTAATGTTTGCAAAGTGGTATTGCTAATACTAGACTAGTAAACTGCATCTCTTATAGAGAAGTAGAAAAACCACAGATGCTATCTGTCTTGTGCGATCTACATGAATGACAGTCTTGACAGCAGGTGTCTCTGTAGACATTAAATCTATTTGATCTCACAGCAAGGTAATGGATGGTGACAGGATGTTTATAAAGTTGACCTGCAGAGCAAAGCTGATAATGAGACATTCAATAACTTCTTATGGTTTGATGCTGTTTAAAATGATTCACCTCACTGAATATTCTATGCTCAGCTATGAAAAAAAGAAATAATTAATTAATTAACAACTAGTTATCATAATACAGTACTACACCACAGCTTTTTGTGTACAGTGAGCCAAAATCCAAATGTTTCGTTTCTTCTTTTTTTCCCTGCACAGTATATTAATTATGATCGGCAACGCTAAGACTACAGATCAATATCAAAACCATCCAAAACGATTATAAGAGATTATAATCCTATCATTTACTGTATGTTAACAAGTCACACATTGGAGATGCTTGTTCTGAAGCCCGCTTAGATATGGCTTCTAAATATATTTCATGATCATTGTTTTTGATTGTAATCATGGCAACAAAACTGAATTGGATTTGTAAAAGGAATCTTATAGCTCATCTTGATGGTGATAGTGTTAAGTGTCAAATAACCTAAACCCAGACAGTTAAGCTGTTGTTCCAAGAAGGCTTCATTTAAAATCAAATTTGGCTTTAAATTGTTTTGTACGTCCATGCAATTCCCTCTGTAAGGTAATAAGTTTCTTATTTTTATAATACTGTAATACTGCCATTTTTTACTCTTTGTCCAGAGGGGGTCAGCAGCAGTCTTGTACTCTGAATTTAGTGCAAGTGCAGACCTTTTTGTGGGATATCCTGCAGTAAGAATAAAAGGAACTAATGTGAAAATGTTCTGATAATTAAGTTTGTATGACATTTCAAAAGGAACATTTAAAGGGGCAGTCATCAGTTTTCCTCATGAAGTTAAGTTATCTTATCTTGAGGGGTGCTACTCAGCAAGTGAAAACAGTTGCTTAATGTTTTCTAAAATGTGAGAAAATAATCCTTATGATCTCATAACGGTTATCTTGGTCTGGGTTTGAGACTTAACATTTTCAACAGAGAGCGTACATAACAAATTGGGGGGTTCTGAAAGAAACGGGCATTTAGGCGGCAGGGGTCTAATGAAAGACACTTTTGAGCTGCATTATGGGACAGTTAGGGTCGTGCGTTCTTGGAGTTTGACTCACACTAGATGTTAAAAGTCAGGACATCTCTCATCTCTGCAGTCTACTGTTCTTTTTTTTTTTGTCTGTCTCTTGTGAGCCCCCAAACTTTATGGTAGTGTGACACTTAACATTTTTAGAAAATATAAAGAAAAAATTAGAAAAGAACAACAACACATATGATATTTGAAATAATCAATTACAAATAAAACAAAAATGGAGTGTTACTGGAATATGTAACCATAATGTATACTTATTTTGACATTATTGTAATCCCTTATGTTATATGGTACTTTCAGTAGCTAACCAAAACTGATCATAAATCTCTTTTGACGTAAACTTCTCACAGTGTGTGATTACTATGTTGAGACTTTATTGATAAGGCTGTGTTTCCTTTAGTCTGCATGGCCGACACACCAGAGAGCAGGAATGAAGGCACCTCCCACCACAGATGTTAAACTGTTTGGCTGACATCCAACCACAAGGCTCACTCTCTGGTGTATCCTGGTGACCCCGCACCACCCTTCTACCTGCTCTCAGTACCTACTCAAAGGATATGTTTCCAAATATAACTCAGGCCTGTCCATTTAAAGACTGAGGTCTTTTTCCATCTGTCAGACCACGCGCTGATCTAATCAGCACATTCTAGCCTGAAACATCAGACAGGAGGCAAACATCATTCCCTGTCCCCTTTGCCATCCCATGTGCTGTAATTACCCAATACAAAGAGTGTTTGAACTGCAGTTAAACCTCTTTTAAACTTACAACAGAATTAACAAACAAATTATTCTTGATTGTTTGGTTAAAATTGTGAAACTCTTTCTTAAGTAATAAACTTCAGTGTCTCAGGGGGATTGTGTAGGTCTATAGAAATGAATTGGACTGGACTAAGCAGAGGAGAAAACAAGGCCTTTCTTAGTTCAATCCAACACTCAGTTAAAGTTTCCAGGCCTTTCCCTGTCACAATAACTTTACTTATACACACACACACACACAGCTGAGAACCTTATGGTCATCTTGAGGCTGTAGCTTGTAAATCAGTAAATATATTTATATATAGTAAATCAGCATTTAACTAAAAACAGAATTCTTTTACTGTCTCTGTCCAGGCAAATTGAACAAGTTGCTCGACATACTATTGAAGCAATTATCAAATAGATTTTTAGTAATTTGCATTATCATTTAAGGGGCTATTTTTAAGTTTTACCTGCTGAAGAAAATGGTTTCTTGCCGGGAGCAGGTGGTGGTGATTGTCGCTTGACAATAGCTTTGGCCATTGTTTGGTTTACAAGACAAGATACGATACGATATAATACGCCCTCTGAGTAATGCTACATCTTCAGGGCAGATTGAAAGGTAAAGTGAGTCACTATCTGAAAGTGACGAGACGGGCCGGTGCTAGCTGGTTAGTGTGCTAACTTCAGCAGAAGAAAAAACATGAGTTAACATATAGGTTTTCTTACTCCTCAAAAGAAATATGTTTCACCTCACCTCTGCATGTTCCAAGAATCCATTTCTCTTATAGCACAAATTTAAGGCACTTGAGCTTGAATAACGAGCCAAAACTGGAAACAGCTATGTTGCTTCAAAGACAATATGATACAAAAGTGGAAAGATAAAATAGTAACAAAGGCAGGTGTTGTTTAAATATCTATTATAGGATGTGGCAATCTGATACTTTACAAACAAACTGCCATTTCCTCTAACATGTGTCCAAGGTCTTATTTCACACTTCCTCCTGTTTTATTACCACAAAATTAAAAAAAAAAAACAGCAACTTATATTACAAATAAGAATCCAACATACAAGCCGGTCTATTTGCCTTCATTACTGTCAGTTTGAAATAGGACCACCCAGACAATCCTCCACTCTACCCAGCCTCCACTGTTTGCTTTAGTTTTTGTGTCCTTGATGGCTGGAGATTAGGTTGTGGACACACGGCTGGTAGGTCCCGTCTCTTTCACTGGGGGGTTAAGTTGGATGAGAAAACAGTAGCCAGTACACACTCCAGCTTGTCAGTAAAGATCTTTATTGTTGTGACAGTGACAACTCCCTTCAGCCTGTGCTCTCTGATGTTCGAGATGCAGGTCATCAGCTGGATTTAAGTATATTAAGAACTGACCCGGTGACAAACTTCCTTCACAAATGACTGTCTGTCACTTTTAGGTCTTTAATGTATTTCTTATCTGACACTTTAGTGCTGCTAAATAGTAGCCTTTGAAAGTGCTTTTTATAGCCATAAACCATTCTCCTCAGTGCAGTTTGAGGACATTTACAAGGACAAGTACTTTTTTCAAAATTTTTGCTGGATCCTTGAAAGTATGAAAACTCTGACTCAGCACTTTCATTAATGTCTCTTCTGTGCATAAGTCACAGCCATCTTTTTCTTCTGTCTTTTCTCCTCTTACAAACATAACCAGTTTACACAACTATAGTTTCAACAACAACAATTTCATGGAACTATATTTTAGTTGTATGCTCTTTGGAAATACACATTTCTGAGTTAAAATAAAAGGAAGGAAGTGAGTTCAGGTGTAAATGCTGATTTTAAAACCTTGTTGCACATTTCTTATGAATGGACAACAAAATGTTCCGCTAGTACAAAAAGTTCCATCTTCCCCTGTGGAATAGTTTTGCCAAATAACAAAACTATCCCACAGGGGACAAACAACTTGCCCTAATAACAAGTACTGTGACTCAAAATCAACTCGAGTCACCACATTGTTATTTGACTCACTCTGGAGGTAAAAGACAAATTCAGAGTGAGACAGCATTTGAGTTTTAAAAAACTGTGTGTCGATTCAGTCTTTTATCTCATTTTCTAATCACCTGTTTTTGTTTGTTTTACATGTCATATCTTCAAGTGTTTGCAGACACTGCAGGCTGTTTTTCGTTCTGCTTTGTACTTTATGGAATATCCGTTTACGCATACTACTTCCTCTGTGTGCTCTATAGTCATACTATACTCATTATACATCACTAATTTTGGGAGAACAAAAAGGACAAGTTGCCAGGCAGTTTTAATGTGTATGATGACATGAGACGGTTTTATTTTAAAATCCAGACCCTCTCTCATTGAGTGGAAGGTGTGTCTACTGGTCTTCACACAAGGAGCCAGAGGCTTTCCAGGTTTATATTACACTCAGCATGATTCACGAAAAGCCCGAACCGCAGCATATGTGTTCCAAAACCAAGCCTTAATCAAGGTCGACCGCTGTGCCATTTAAGATATTTTCCAAGCATCCAAGTCATGTTTAAAATAGCATGCCTGTTCTCTCACAGAACAGGAAGGAGCCATAGAAATGTTTTGCCAACCCACACACTGGTGGTGTGTGTTTTTTTGCCTCACTCGGAGGAAGTCTGTGTGCTTAAGTGGCTGTGAAAGGCTCAAGGTATCTGAGTTTCTCTAACAAAGTTATACTTTAGCCCCTTAAGTTTTAGCTCTGTTGGCTCACTAAAAGAGCCAACAGAGCACGGTCTGGTGATGACCCCCAAGTGCCAACCCAACAGTGAGAACTGAAATTAGACAATAAGAAATGTACAGCATTACAAAGCTGTGCTGACATTTCCATGAGACATATAGCTGGTTATGTTTGCAAACATATTGTGTATACTTAATTGAATCCAAATATGAGGTCAATTAATTACAAATTGATTGATGGTATATTTAGTAACACTTAAGTAAGTTTAGTAACTGCATTCATTTTTGACCACTAGAGGGCAGCGAAAAAAAAGAAGAAGCTGTAAACACAACACTGAT